TCAGAACAAATGTGAATACCACAATTTGTATCAAGGACCCAAGAATTAGCATGTGATGAGTTATTAGACTGAATAGTGTAAATACCTGCAAAGGAGGGTTTGATCTTCCCATCCTTAATGTCCTGCAAGTACTTGGGACAGCTTCGTTTCCAGTACCCTTTATCATGATAGTGGAAGCACTCTGCTTCCTTCGGGTTGGAAGAGGGATTAACAGAACCAACTTTGGTCTCACTTGAGGAGGATCCATCAAGAGCCTTTCCGTTACGGCTCTTGTAGGGAGCCTTCCTCTTCTTTTCCTTCCCATGTCCGATTTCCAGAACAGGGGCAAAAGTAGTAGTAGGAGTAGACACAACCGACTTGCTTTTCAGGTTGCTTTCTGCAGTCCTAAGAAGGCCTTGAAGCTTGCTAAGAGTGACCTCCTCCTTGTTCATATGATAGGTCATACGAAACTGATCATAACAAGAAGGTAAAGAGTGTAGAATAATATCTATGGCCAACTCTTCATCAAAATTGACATTAAATTTAAGCAAGTGGTCCACGAATCTATGCATCTTCTACAAGTGGGCCGTGATGGGTTTACCATCCTTCATTTTGGTTGTGATCATGGAGGCAATGATCTCATACCTCTCATGCCGAGTACTTTGATGGTATCTAACACCCCTAAGTGTACATCCAACCCTAGAAAACGTTGGATCTATGTTTGTCTAAAATACATGCAAAATACTTTTTCCAAGGTTCATAATCCTATTTGGCATGGCATGGGGTACTTTTAAACATAAAAGAAACTAGAATAATTACATACCTTTAGTAGTGAGTTGATTTTTTAGGAGTTTGAGAGTCAAGCACCAATAATGTGAATGCCTCAAATGGAAATCACAAAACACCACAAACTTGGAAAACTTTATGAGAGAGTATGTTTGCTCTAGAAATCAACCACTCTTATGCACACACACATAGTGTCACTTCAAACATCACAAGCCTCTTTATATAGTGTATATGATTAGGGTTATGAACCATGTAAACCCTAATAACCCATGTCTTTTCCTTTCCAAGGATCCATGGGTTAAAAGCTCCATGGATTATCCATGGAATCCCATCCAAGCTTCGCCCATTTCCTAATGAGTGTTAGCCCACACCATATAAATATGATAGGCCATGTTTAATTAGTCACCTTTTTTATCACTAAATTAATTCATAATTAATTTAAGATCAATACTAATTAAATAATACGATTTCATATTAATATGTTATAACTTATAATATATTAATAAATCATAAACATACTATTCTCATAATATTATCCATATAAATAGTTCGGGTGAAGTGCAACCCAAATGGACCACGCCGGGTCGGGCCAAGTATATACCAAATAAGTTATGGACTTAGACACCTTATCCAACAGTCTCCTACTTGGATAAGTCTAATAACTGTATTTGCATATATAACTTCAGGAACCAACCGGCAATCGTAGCTCTCGAAAACTCTTTTGAACTATGAAGCGCCATTTTAGATAAGTGATCATATAATCCTCTGTTCTCATGATATCAGCCGGACAAATACATGGAACAATGTCTTACTTATTGTCCAGCAGTTGGTTTCCCGATTTCCGATTATGTTTGACAAAGAACTTAATCGAGCACATCAATTTAGTTCTGACCGGGCCCGGTACATAGGTCAAAACAAAATCATCGAGGGGCCCAGATATCGCTTCTAATCCAAGAAGGAACAGATAAACTTCGACTCATATGCTTGTTCTACTACTTGTTGAATCATACACAAAGGCACGTTTTATAACATCGAGTTACCAAGGCGTTTACGTACAATCAATGTATAACCAACTCATAGGCAACAAGTCATATATCTCTAGGTTTGAAGACTTAATGATATTACCGTCTCACGATCACTCGAGATAAATTCCCTGAAGTGATACAAGTGAGCGTGAGTTTATTCCAATACTCATACCTTATGAGAACTCATGAATATTGTGGCAACCATTGCTATGTCTAAACACATTTAGTCATCTACAATCCCAATTCATGACAGTCTTGATTCATACCTACTTCCGACATATGAACGACTGTGGAGAATTTGAATAAATTTATTATTCTGGAAGTCAAACATGCAAAGCTGAAACAATAGTAAATAATTGACAAGGATAGCAACACCTTACTCATAAATAAATCACAACTTTTATTCATCATCAAACGTCGACTACATCTTACAAGTTTCAGTAATCACTATCTAATCTATAAAACTAATATTGTCCCTCAGCCCGATGCGCCTCGCATGCTGCAAATGCCTAACCCTCGTCAGTCCCTTCGTAAGGGGATCCGCAGGGTTCTCATCCGACGATACCCTCTTTGCCACGAGGAGTCCTTCTTCTATCTTGTGTCTTATGAAGTGATATTTTCTGTCAATGTGTCGGGATCTGCCATGATCTCTTGGTTCCTTGGCTAAGGCAACCGCACCATTGCTGTCACAGAAAATCTCCATAGGCTCCTTGATAGCTGGTACAACTCTAAGGTCTCCGATGAAGTTCTTCAGCCATATCGCCTCCTTCGCTGCTTCACTCGCTGTTATGTACTCTGATTCACAAGTCGAATCAGCAACCGTCTCCTGCTTGGAACTCTTCCAAGTGATTGCCCCTCCGTTTAGGGTAAAGACCCAGCCCGACTGAGAGCGGAAGTTATCCCTGTCAGTCTGAAAACTAGCATCACTATACCCTACTACCCTCAAGTCATCACTCCCACCAAGGGTATGGATCCAATCCTTAGTCCTCCGCAGGTACTTGAGAATATTCTTTACCGCAATCCAGTGAGCATTTCCAGGGTTCCCTTGATAATTGATGACCATGCTTAAAGCGAAGGCCACATCAGGGTGGGTACATGTCATAGCATACATGATCGAGCCAACAACGGAAGCATATGGTAGTCGATTCATCTCAGCTATCTCAGCCTATGTACTCGGACTCTGAGTCTTACTCAGCTTGGCATTGTTTTGGATAGGTAACTCTCATTTCTTGGAATTCTGCATGTTGAACCTTTCAACATCTTATCCAAGTAAGTACTCTGACTAAGTCCAATTAGTCTTTTACTCCTGTCTTTTAATATCCTTATCCCTAGGATATAGGCAGCTTCCCCAAGGTCCTTCATAGCAAAGCACTTCCCAAGCCAGGACTTAACCTCCTGCAAGGTTGGGATGTCATTTCCTATGAGTAGTATGTCATCCACATACAGTACCAAAAAGCTGACTATACTCCCACTAGCTCTGACATACACGCAGGACTCATCTTCACTTCTCGAGAAGCCAAACTCTTTGACCTTTTCATAGAAACAAAGATTCCAGCTGCGAGATGCTTGTTTCAATCCATAAATGGATTTCTCAAGCTTTCACACTCTATTAGGGTATTCTGCACTGACAAAAGCCTCTGGCTGACTCATGTAAACATCCTCAGCCAGCTTCCCATTAAGGAAAGCGGTTTTGACATCCATTTGCCATATTTCATAATCATGAAATGCGGCAATGTCTAGCATAACTCTAATAGACTTAATATTCGCTACTCGTGAGAAGGTTTCATCATAGTTAATAGCCTGAGTTTGAGTAAAACCCTTTGCAACCAGTCGCGCCTTATAAGTGTGCCCGACTGTCTTAAGTCCTGGTACATTATCAACCAAGTTCCAAACTTGATTGTCATACATGGACTGTATCTTGCTGTCCATAGCTTCCTTCCATTCAGCAAACTCCGGGCCTGCCATGGCTTCCTTAACACTGTTAGGTTCATCCAGATTTACCAGTGTACTATCACTGATAAATGTATCACCTTCTGTAGTAATATGAAATCCATAATAAAACTCACGTGTGTTCCTAACCCTTGTAGAATGCCTCGGAGGTACAGACTCGTCAGCTGGCTCAACAGGAATTTCCTCCTCAGGTTGATTACTAGTGTCTGAGGTTATAAACTTGCCTCTTGAATTTCTTCAAGGTCGATTTGCCTCCCACTGTCTCCTTGGCTTATAAATTCTCTCTCTCGAAAGACACCTCTCCTTGCCACAAAGACCACATTCTCACTAGGTCTGTAGAAGAGGTAACCAAAGGATTTATGTGGGTAGCCGATGAAAATACACCTTTCACTTCGGGGTTCGAGCTTATCATGACACTCGCGCCTCACAAAAGCCTCGCAACCCCAAATCTTGATGTGGTCCAAATTGGGAACTTTCCCAGTCCACATCTCATGAGGTGTTTTGGCAACCTTCTTTGTAGGGACTAGATTAAGGATGTGGGCGGCATTCTCAATGGCATACCCCCAAAAAGAGATTGGTAGCGAAGCTCGACTCATCATAGAGCGAACCATGTCCAACGAGGTTCGATTACGCCTCTCAGCCACACCATTCAGCTGTGGTGTCTTGGGAGGTGTCAATTGTGAGACAATCCCACACTCCTTGATATAGTCGAGGAACTCAGTGCTAAGATACTCACCACCTCGATCGGATCGAAGCATCTTAATGTTCCTGCCCAATTGATTTTCTACTTCCATATTAAACTCTTTAAACCTTTCAAAAGTTTTTAACTTATGTTTGATTAAGTAGACATAACCATATCTACTAAAATCATCAATAAAAGTCATATAATAGCGATTGGCATCCCTTATGGCGGTTTTGAATGGTCCACATACATCAGTATGTATAAGGTCCAACAAATCCTCACCCCATGCACAAGTACCAGTGAAGGGTGATTTTGTCATTTGTCCAAGTAGACAAGATTCACAACTATCATCCGACTTAAGGTCGAACGAGTCCAAGACTCCATCCTTTTGGAGCTGGCCTATGCGTTTCTTGCTTACATGTCCAAGACGACAATGCCACAATGATGCTTTATCCAAGCTAGTAAAAGAATCAATACACAACACATTATTTCCTAAATTATCTACAACCAACACAACTTCATACCCACCATCACAAGGCAATGCTTTAAAATAAAGAACATTATTAAAGAAAGCATTGATTCCACCACATTCATTATCAAAAGAAAAGGTAAACCCTTGTTTGTACAAAGCATGAAAGGAAATAATAGTTCTCGCCATTTCTGACGAGTACACACATTTATTCAAATCTAACTTTAACCCACTACTTAGCAACAAAGTATAAACTCCAATCTTGGAAACAGGTGAAGCCTTCCTATTCCCCATGATCAGGTTTATCTTCCCGTGCTCCACATCCTCACTTCTTCTTAGGCCCTGCAAATCAGAACATATGTGAATACCACATCCTGTATCAAGCACCCAAGAATTAGAATATGGTGAGTTATTAGACAATATAGTGTAAATACCTGCATGGGATGGTTTCACTTTCCCATCCTTGACATCCTGTAAGTACTTAGGGCAGTTTCGCTTCCAGTGCCCCTCATTCTGACAGTAGAAGCAATCAACATCCTTAGGGATGGCAGAAGGAGTGACATAAACACTTTTGGTTCCAAATGAGGAGCCTTCAAGAGACTTTTCCTTGGTACCCTTCGAAGGGGTCTTCCTCTTCTTTCCTTTTCCTTGCCCGATAGCCAAAACAGGGGTAGCTGTAGGAGTAGGAGTGGTAACAACCGACTTACCTTTAAGACCACTTTCGGCGGTCTTCAGAAGTCCCTGAAGCTTGCTGAGTGTAACTTCCTCCTTGTTCATGTGGTATGTCATGCGGAATTGATCATAACACGAGGGTAGGGAGTGCAATATGATGTCAATTGCCAACTCCTCAGGGAAGTTCACATTCAATTTCTACAAACGGTCCACATTCCTTTGCATTTTCTGCATGTGGCGCGTGATGGGTTCACCATCCTTCATTCGGGTTGTTATCATGGAGGAGATTATTTCATACCTCTCTTGACGAGCACTCTGATGGTACCTTTCCATCAAGTGCTGGTGCATCTCAAAAGGGTAATAGTCCTCATAGGACTTTTAGAGCTCGGCTGTGATCGTGGCCATCATGATGCATGCCACCTTAGTGGCATCTCTCTCATGCGTCCTGAATTCAACGATCTCCTCAGGAGTAGCAGTAGACTCATCAAGCTCCTTTAGCTCCTTATCGAGGACATATTCCTTGTCCTCGTAACGAGTAACCATCCTGATGTTCCGGATCCAATCCATGAAGTTGCAACCATCAAAGATGACTCTCCCACAAAGTTTCATGAGAGAGAAGGAGCCAGTAGGGTTAGAGTCCGAAGCATTGTTGTTGGAAGACATCTGAAAAGAAGAAAACAAGTTTAGATTAGATAAATAGAGTCCTTAATAAGACACCCAAATGTAACATTAAGGCTAGGATCCAACACAATATATTATAACTTAGAAGAGGGATACCGTAATCTAAGCTATAACATATTTGAAGGTTGGTGAATGACGATTCACCAATTTCCACCATGAAAACGAAATGAATTATTAGGTTTAACTGGTTTGAAATTCCTAGATTCTTTTGAGATTCATTGAACTTTTCAATGGCATGTTTCAATCTCGAGTGTGCCCTTCAGGTTTTGTGCCGGTTAACCACACACGCTCCACCGATCTATGATAAACATTAAGTCACCCTTTGTTATCCTTACTAGTCCAAGTTAGTGTGCCGGTTAACCACACACGCTCCACCGATGACTTGGTAAGGTACAAATTGTGAATTTCATGGGTTAGCACCATTTCACATTTGCCTAAAGTAACTAAGATTGGGAATTTATAAAACATTTAGTTACTTTATAATAATCATTATACTTTTAATGAGAATTAAAATCATTGTCCTACCCGTTCGGCTAACGACCCTCCACCGATCAAGGAAGCGGTGGGTGAGAGTGGACACCCATTAAGCTGCCATTTTATAGGCAACAACCTTATACCCCCCTTATAGACCGGCTTCGTGAATGAGGCCTACTAACGGTAAAACGACTTGATCTTATACATATATATAATTATTAACTATTAGTGTTATAAATAGTATCAGCGTTGAATTTTAACTTTTAAAACTCTAAGGGTTGGAATTAAAGTATATTAAAGTGTGTGCAACTTTACAAATTCCAAAAACTTGAGGACAAGTTTTGAAACTATTCAAAACTTTTCATTTCATAACTTATGAATTAATGGTTCATAAAAATGAACACTCTTCATTTTATGTAACTTATGTGTTTTAAATGTGCATAAAAGAAATTGACCTTTGGAAATCCATAACTTGAGGACAAATTATGGACTCCATTAAAACACATAAATGATCAAGAATTAATTAATAAACAATTTAGCAAGTAATTCCTATGATCTAACAATAATTCATAAGAACATCAATATCATATAAAAACTTCAAGAACATATGAACACATATAAACATGGAATTTTGATATTGGCCATTGTAAATGGATTAGCACAACCATTACACCATCTAAAACAAGTTTTATAACACCAAAACGGTTTAGGATAATGTTTCTAGTCCAATTCCAAAAGCAAAACTCGAAAAACTACACTCAGGGGCTCCTACTCGTCGAGTGCAAGAACCTACTCGACGAGTAGGATGAATTTCGTCATGGACTCGTCGAGTCCCCCCCATGGACTCGGCGAGTTCATGCTTCAGAATGCATAAAAACGAGTTTTTTCACAATTTTGCATCAAGTATAAAACAAACAAGCCTAGGCTCTGATACCACTGTTGGGTTTTGAGCATTCTAACACCCCTAACTGTACATGCAACCCTAGAAAACCTTGGATCTATGTTTTTCTAAAATACATGCAAAATACTTTTTCCAAGGTTCATAATCATATCTAGCATGGCATGGGGTACTTTTAAACAAAAAAGAAACTAGAAGAATTACATACCTTTAGTAGTGAGTTGATTCTTTAGGAGTTTGAGAGCCAAGCACCAATAATGTGAATGCCTCAAATAGAAATCACAAAACACCACAAACTTGGAAAACTTTATAAGAGAGTATGTTTGCTCTAGAAATCAGCCACTCTTATGCACACACACATAGTGTCATTTGAAGCATCACAAGCCTCTTTATATAGTGTAGATGATTAGGGTTATGAACCATGTAAACCCTAATAACCCATGTCTTTTCCTTTCCAAGGATCCATGGGTTAAAAACTCTATGGATCATCCATGGACTCCCATGCAAGCTTAGCCCATTTCCTAATGAGTGTTAGCCCACACCATATAAATATAATAGCCCATGTTTAATTAGTCACCTTTTTTATCACTAAATTAATTCATAATTAATTTAAGATCAATACTAATTAAATAATACGATTTCATATTAATATATTATAACTTATAATATATTAATAAATCATAAACATACTATTCTCATAATATTATCCATATAAATAGTTCGGGTGAAGTGCAACCCAAATAGACCATGTCGGGTCGGGTGAAGTATATACCAAATACGTTATCGACTTAGACACCTTATCAAACAATCTTTCCATCAAATCATGATACATTTCATAAGGATAGTAGTCCTCATAGGCCTTCTGCAGCTCAGCAGTCATGGTTGCAATCATTAGACACGACACCTTTGTCGCATCCCTCTCATGAGTAGTGTGTTCAATGATTTGTTCAGGAGTAGCAGTGTTGACATCAATCTCCTTCAGCTCTTTATATAGGACATATTCTTTGTCCTCATAGTGAATAACCATCCTGATGTTTCGAATCCAGTCATTAAAATTTGAGCCATCGAAAATGACGCTCCCACATAGATTCATTAGGGAGAAAGAGCCTGAATGGATTGGGTTGGAATCATTGTTTGGGATAGACATCTGTAAAAGAAGAAGAAAAAAGTTTAGATTAGATGATAATCCTTAATATTACACCCAATATGAAATATTAAGGCTAGGACCTAACACAATATTCTACAATTGCGAAGAGGGATGCCGTCATCCAATTGTAAAATATTTGAAGGTAAGTAAATGACGATTTACCAATTTCCACCATGAAAAACGAAATAGATTATTAAGTGTTAATTGGATTTGAAATTCCTAGATCTTTTAGAATCATTGAACTCTTCAATGGTATGTTTAAATCTCGATTGTGCCCTTCAAGTCTGTGACTGGGATGCCGAGGATCACAAACAAGGAGTGAATAACCATGCAAGTTAGCTTGGTACACCCAATGTTACAAATCACCTAATCAATGTGCCGGTTAACCACACATGTTCCACTGATCTATGATTAACACCAAGTTACCCTTTGCCACACATTGTCAGTCCCAGATTAGTGTGCCGGTTAACCACACACGCTCCACTAACGAATTAACAAGGTGCAAAGTGTAATTCCATGGATTAGCACCATTTCACATTTTTCCTAAGGTAACTAAGATTGGATTTTAATAAAAGTTTAGTTACTTTATATTTATCATTATACTTTTTAATGAAGGAGAATTAATGTCCTATCCTACACGTTCGGCTAACGACCCTCCACCAGTCAAGGAAGCGGTGGCTGAGAGTAGACACCCATTAAACCACCATTTTATAGGCAGTAACCTTATACCCCCCTTATAGACCGGCTTCGTGAATGAGGCCTACTAACGGTAAGACTGACTTTATCTTATACATATATATATATATATATATATATATATATATATATATATAATATATATATAATTATATATATATATATATATTAAACTTATAATATTATAAAGTATAAGGGTTGAATTTTAACTTTTAAAACTCTAGGCTTTGGAATTATAGTTTCATTAGTGTGACTTTACAAATTCCAAAACTTGAGGGCAAGTTTTGAAACTTGTCAAAACTCTTCACATTCATAACCTATGAGTTTAATTGAATTTTAATGTATGAGACCTTTCATTTTCCATAACTTGAGGATAAGTTATGGAGGTCATTAAACATCATTTTGATCATTTTTCTAACAACTAAATTATCACAAAATTCATGATCTTACTAAACTCATAGGCAAGATAATTTTTCAGGTCAACAATTTTAAAGAAATTTTGTTTATCATATAAAAACAACAGTTATTTTAAAACTTTGACAGTTATCTTGTGGTTGGATGAGTATAAGCACTACCATATCATAAAAAACATTTCCCATGATCCAAAACAGTTTGTCGTAGTGTTCCTAATCCAAACCAGGCCAAGAAACTCAAAATTTTGCACACAGATCCTTCAACTCGTCGAGTACAAGAACTGGACTCGCTGAGTATCTATGTTACTGAGTGGACTCATCGAGTCTGTTCATGTACTCGCCGAGTTTACCAGTTACAGGCCAAAATATTGACTTTTTCACCTTTGAAAAACTAGTAAGCATCAAATATAATAGAAAACAATCCTAGGCTCTGATACCAGTGTAGGGTTTTGAGCAGTATAACACTCCTATGGTGCACATGCAACCCTAAATGCTTTGGATCTATATTTTCTTTAATTATACATGCATTTTCAATTTTCCAAAGCATTCTCCTTAGCTAGCATACAATTGAAGCTATACAATATAAACTTTGCTTAGATGCTTACCTCTTGAGTAGGGTAGAGTTCTTGACCTTTGAAAGCTTGAGCACCTCAAGTGTGATGCCTCTATTGGTTCACACACACCAAAATGCAACAGGAGGTTTTAAAAGAATAAGATACTTGACTCCAAAGAGTGTGTAGCCGATTTTGGCTTATGGGGCACTATTTATAATGTGGCAAATACTAGGGTTACACTTTGTAAAACCCCAATGCTCCATGACTTTTCACATTCTTATGCTCCATGGGTTAACCTCCATGGACTATCCATGGATTATCTTATTGGTTTAGCCCAACCATATAGTTATGGATCATTAGTCCACATTACAAGAATGATTGATTTACATAATAAATCCCCATATATTTGATTAGTCTCTTTTGATCACAAAATTGATTCCAAATAACCTTATTCTCAAAAATCCTTCCTATCAAATTGCACTGATGAAGACAACCCAAAAAGTGACCATGCTACAATCGGGTCAAGTACATAGCAGTTATAGTTATGGGCTTACACACCAAATCCAATAGTCGCAATGCCTAACAAATAAATAATATAAATAAAAATACTTCTCAAATGTATTGGGGGTAGTACAGGAAAGCAGGGTCGATTCCACAGGGAAACGTCCTAAGGTCTATGTCTCTCTTGCGTAAGCCACACACTAAATTAGCAGTAATTAAATGGGGGATTTGTTGACTATTAAAACTAACTTCGACATAAATTTATCAAAGGAA